ACAAGCCTAAGCATAAGCAAGACGATATTTCATTAGAACCCTTGGCTGCCACGTCTTCAGTCCATATATACGAAAAAACATTATCTTTAGTCAGGCTTGCGTGAGAATTTCCCTCGACAATTGTAAAATTATAAATATATAGTTGTCGCGAATAATACGCCGACTGGTCGGGTACTTTTGGTAGAGGTAAATTTTTTTGGCCGTCGAAGGACAAAATGAGCAGTTCTGGATCATCTTCCTTTAATTTCTCAAAGAAGCATTTTGCTCTTATTTTGTGTATTCTATATTGGGTTCGCAAACTCTGTTTTTCACTTTCGTTTTGAGTTATTTTTAACTTTTCTAGCAACTGTAAACAATCTGAACAGACGTCTTGGCGCGGAGACCCAAATCCAATATTAAAAGAGGTATTGAATACCTTCCTGAAGAAACTTTTAGTCACTGAATATCCCAGCAACGATTCGTCTTCATACATCCTGTATAATTTACTTATATTTAGACTGGGATCCAGATATATTCTTTGTTTAACTTTGCCTCTGCAATAGTGACTATCTAATGGCCGAAAACCATGATATTTACGGTCCCCTCCGCGCTTTTCGAAAGCTGTTTCACCTGTGGCTGCGTATCGATTGGAAACGCCTTTAACACGGCCTTGTTTGACTTTTAAAATGCCACAAAACGCAGCGAGGCAGACGGGAACTTTTTCTTTATTACTGTGCTTAGTAATGAAATACTGCTTTGAGAAAGCGCGTCCATTTCGACTGTTATTTCTAGGGCGTTTTCTTTTAACAGGAGCCAATAGCATATTTTGTAAAATATAATTATCTTGACTTATCTTGTTAGGATTACAGTAAAACTTTTTGTGGAAGTAAAAAACATCATTAGAAGTCAACGTTGCACATTTGTATACACTTTTTTTGTTGTGATTACACTTTGGTTTTTCTGGCAAGGTTTTTGCAGAGTACCTGGAAATAAATTGAAATGAAGGTATAAAATTAAATGTGTAACTTTCTACATCGTAAATAAATTTTCATTGTATCGCTATCTCTTAAAGAGGTGTACAACGTTCAACCTATTACGTGACATCTCGTGGTATACACTCATTCAAACACAAACCCAAAAAAGGTGATGTTGGTACAAACTTAAAATTTGCTAAAACATTGTCTACCTTATCTTAGAAAAAAAAACACCGATATAGGTACCAATCAATATAGGTACTAAATACCGAGTGCAAAACCCGTACTATTAAGTTATTTAAGTATTTACCGGCCTACTTGCATTGTAATAAAAACATCACCCTTTTTTGGCAGTCAGGTAAAACACACAACAATGACATGGGTGGCCGATCCTAATGCGAGTCCGACCCTGTTCATGGGCATGCAAAATTTTATATCACATCGCCCTACCGAAAACAAAGTGAAATTACAACGTACTACTTACAAATCTCGTTGTTTCTTCTTTTGTTTTTCATTTGTCTGGAGTTTTAACTTCTTTTTAGCTAATTCAGGCCTCACAACATTTATTTCTTCTTCCATAATTCTATAAAAACGCAAGCGCACGAAACAAACACCACGACACAAAGCCAACAACTGTGGCCATGACACTATGCAGTGCTGTCTGTCATTGGTCGAATCGGACTTAAGCGAGTTTGATTTAAAATGACGTTGTGACTTAGGTTTGTATGAAAACAAAACTAATATTTTGAGCCTTATTTATACCAGTTACAGAGGACTTAAGCTGGTTTAATCCAAAATAATATTTATTTTTTTTGTATAAAGAATCCGGCCAATCAAAAACATTAATTTGTTACTATAGTGGACTTAAAAGCGTTTGATATGTATCGATACATATGTCGTTTTCCATGGAAGTAACTGTTTCTTAATAAACATTTATGATTTATAAGCTTACATTGGCTAAGACATGTAAAAAACAAATAAATTACAATAACTTGACTGTATTTTAAAGAACTATACTTATCTGTCTAGAAAGAGATTGAACCCTCAACTTATAAGAAATTTAATAAAAGAGTTTTACGATCTATCATTTATTTGAATAAAAAATAAAATACAACACAAATCAACAGCTTTATCATTAGGTTATGATACTTTATATCAATTTTTTTGACCAAGAATTAATACAAAGTAACTATCTGGCTGACTCATCACTCAACCTATTTCTATGTTTTCTAATTACTAATGATGCTTTAGAAAATAACCTCTCAGCAGGTACTGAAGTTGCAGGTATTGAGAGAAAATCACGGGCCATTTTCGATAAAATCGGATACTCTGTCTCATGCGTCTTCCACCAATCTAAAATGTCTGCCGAGCTGGCAGTTCTTGGTTTTCTCAGGTACTCCTCCAACTCGTCTATCACTAAGCCTTGAAGACAAGATCCAGATGACGTCGAGGGACATTCATAGAGTTTATCAAAGTCTATTACGTCTTCATCTTCATCACATACTTTATTTTCTTTTTCTGGTAATTTCAGAGATTTGTTCAGTAAGTCTTCATAAAGTTCATTGAACTTCGCAGACTTTCTGTTTTAAGTTGCTTCCCCCACATTGTCAGGTCAAAAGTCTGAGTCTTATGCCTTGGGTCTAAAATTAAAGAAGTACAATAAATCCAGTTGCTCTTCTTGTAATGTTTAAGCATTTTGTCTCGAGCTACTTGGAAAGCTAGAATGAGCCTTTCATCCACTTCAGATCGATTAGGTTTCTCATCTAACTGTTTTACCATGGATTCGATTTTATCTAGCAAGAGATTGAATGATACAATGACTAGCGGTAATGTAACATATTTGTCTCCACCAAGTTTTGTACTTAAAAGTTTAAAGTTTATTAGAAATTTATGTACTTTTTCGAGTACCTGCCATTCATTAGCTGTGATTTGAAAATCATTTAATTCGGTAACAGAACTGCACAATATGTCAATGCCCGCTCTCACTTTTAAACCAAATCCAATCATATCATGTGTGGAATTACATCTCGTTGGACAGTCAAAAATGGCATTTAGATTCGATGGCACGCCGGCTTACTTAATATGTCGCACCCCTAGATGAAAACACCACTAACTCAAAAATACGTAAGTTAATGGCGTTTTTGAAAGTATCGCATGAATAGCTACGCGGAGTTAAAATTCTTTTAACTGTTAAAAAAATATTCTTATCTGTCCACTTCTTCCAGCGGTTACTAAAAAGCTTGTGATATCTCCACTTAATTTTGGTTTAACAGGAAGAAATATTTCTGATTCCTTTTTGTGGAAAGATATTAGATGTTTCCTTAAGCCTGAAGTGTTGTTTTTCATTTTTATTTCAATCTTTTTATGTTGGCACAATATACAGAAGGCAGTTTGGGATACATGAATTATTTCGAAAAACTCCTCAAAAGAGAATGGGCAAAAATGTATGAAACCTGGGACCACCTTCCAATAGCAATGAGGGAGTGAAAACGTTTAGCACGTACGTGGGTGAGCGATGAAGTCGCAACTACTTTGCTTAAGCGCATTGGCGCTCATTTTATATAAAAAAAAACTTTCTACAATAAATAAAAGGAAGAATTGGAGAGAATGGACTAAGAGATGGCTTCTGAAAAGACATCAATATTCTCACATCAATCTTCTTGAGGAATTACGTTTTCATCTTAAAGATTGGCATAACTACCTTCGGATGACAGAGGAAACATACTTAGAGCCTTTGCATAAGGTATCTTCCAGAATAATAAAAAATGATACCAATATGAGGCAAGCTATTACTGTGTGTGAAGCGACTTCATCTCTGGTGGTTTTAATACTGTCGTCATCAGATTGCTGAAACAATTAATAAAAGATAATTATTTATTTGTTGCAGTTTCCAACAAGCGAGAACGAATGGATCGAAATTGGGAAAAACTTTGAAAATAGATGGGATTTTCCTAACTGTTTGGGCGCTGTAGACGGGAAACATATAAGGATAAGACCTCCTCCAAGAGCTGGATCTTATTTTTACAATTATAAAAATTTTCATAGTCAAGTCCTAATGGCCATTGCTAACGCCAATTATGAGTTTATTTATTTTCATATTGGTACAAACGGAAGAGTCTCGGATGGTGGTGTTATAAATGAAACGGACTTCTACAAAAACCTCTTAAATAATTCCTTAAAATTACCAAATCCTACTACATCGCAAAAGTTGGAGACACCACATTTTGGAGTGCACAATCTGTAGTAGACGTGCTTGGGGAGAAGCCTATCAGCTGAATGGTGGACTCCACAATGGTTCCTATGGCCCCAACATCCTCCGTCGCAACTCTCACTACTCCCGAAGAGGGAGTAAATACGAGTTGAGTTGTTCTGTAAAAAAGAGTAGCAAATAAAACCAAATCTATACAAATAAATAAAATTGGACTGTCTATTTCTAATATTAAAATAACCGCTTTTTGTACATTAATATACATATTAAACACATACTAAAATAACATTTTTTACAATATTTAACTGTCTGTCTGTCTGATTGTACTTGCTAATCTCTGAAATGGCTTGGCCGATTTTGCAAGACTTTTATTGGCAGGTACTAAGAAGTAACATAGGCTACTTTTAATTTGGAAAATTGAAACAAAAAAGCAATATGTTCTAAATTTTATATTATACGCGGACAAATTCGCGGGCAACATTTAGTCTTTTAATATAATACAATCATTAAGTTAAAATATTATTGAAACTTACGCTGGGGGCGGTGTCAGCCGATCACTGGAGACCACTTGCTCTAAGTCCACCACTCTGCTGGGCCCACTCACGTCTACTACAGAAGCTAAAAATTAAAATAAGTTATAATTGAATCAAATCCAGTAAAATCTATAGTAATCAATAGTACAAGAAGGAATTTACACACCTCTTCTATTCAACTCCCACGGTTGGAGAGTACGTGCAGGCGGGACTTCTGGAGTCCCCGGAATAAGGGGACACGGCACTCTCACCGGAGACGATTTTCTAAAATATATTAAAATGGTTACAATTTTTAAAATAATATTGAAACATTTTTTTTCTGTACAATTTACTAACTTGTATTTTTTGGCGGGAGGAGCGTCGGGCATTAAAAAGTGTGAGACTTGTTTAATGTCCCGTAGTTGCTGCAGCCGTGCTCGCTGCTCTTGCGTCAGTCGGCCCATATTTTTTTTATCAGCGTTTTTTTGCCGTCTATACCGTTTTATTTCATCAGCAATACTGATATAAAAACAGCTTTTAATATAAATACTATGTTAAAACTGAATATTTAAATGAAAGTTTACATACGATGTCGATGGTCCGGCAACAGCAGGAGGCGCCTCGGTAATACTAAAACATATATTATATTTTAAACATTTCAATAATATAATAAGAACTACTTTGTGTTAGTAACAAAAAATAGCTAACGTGTTAAAATCAAGCGCACGAGCACAGACGCCGCGCCCACGACCACGGGTACCACCACCCCTTGCACGACCACCCCGGCCACCACCACCACGTCCAGTATGAGGACCACGACCACGTCCACAACTTCCACCAGCGCCTTGTTCCATGATCTAACAAGCGTGCATAAATAAAAATATTAAAGAAAAGGCAAAAAAAGCTGTAGATATAAACAAAACCGATAAACTCAAAACTTAAAACACTATAAAAACAAAGTTTTAATTTTTAAGTTTTATAGTAAATGTAGCAAATTGTGTTAAAATAAATACTTCGTAGATCAAAAAAAAAAGAAATTAAAATGTTTACCTTTTGAATTTCAAAACAAACATATGGTCGGTGTGCGTCCTCAGCACGTCCGTAGTGCTTCTTCCTTTGTAAAAGGTGTAACGTCTTCAGGGTTCTCAGTTATGAATTTAAGAAACTTTTTCTTATCATTTTTGACGCAGTTCGTATAATATTAACAATTGTGGCCTCCTCCGTCTCACCCATAGACCGCAACTCCTGAGTATATGCATTGAGCACCCAGTCCAATCCGTACTCTTATATTTATTGCATTGTTTATTGCTTTTTCGTTTCTTTGTTTTTTCTGAAGATGCTTCATATGGTTTCGATGGTCTGCCACCTGTACAGCTTCCAGACGTATAAGGGTCATTAACTGTGATTCGACACTCCAGTGGAACACGAAATTCGCCATTTAACCAGTCGACGTTCTTACTTTCAAAGCGTTCTCTTTCCGGGATGCATTTCTCCAGCGTTCGTTACATTTAGATGCCAAGTTTCTTTGAATGTAGGAGACCACAGAAGCCATATATCCTCTGGTGACAAATTGAAATTTTCTTGCAAGTAGTCTTCTATATTATTCCCATTTATCAACAAATTGCACAACTCTCGATTACTACAAACAAATTCACCCATTATTTTCAAATCAGATAACTTCTGTAAATATTTGAAAATAGGTATTAACTGCTTTTTAAGGCAACTGATATTCTGACGAACAATTGTGGATGTTTCAGGGTTCGCCTTTCTTTTATAGGCCAATGAATTAGTGCTATATGCAAAAAGATAAGAAACTAATATTTGCACTCTTCCTGTAACCAACCTGTTTTTAATTTGACCCTAATAGATAAAGTGACCATATTTTATCAAATATGGTGAAAACGATATCAAAACCACAAATAACTATAATAGTACTCATTACTGTAATGACCATTTTATCAATTTGACCCTAATAGATAACAGATGAATATGTGAGAATCTCGAAAGAGAAAATCTCGCGATATGTTTTGGCACCGTGTCAGAAAAGGCGCAAGTATGCGCAACTTTTTTTCTTTTTGTTTAAACTAATGTATAAAGATCGAAGACAACAAATATCTCGACATCGGCAAACAGCGGCAAACGGGTAAGTGTCGCCGCACACGAGCCACTCGCCACAGCCACAAACGCCGCCACTAGAAGCTAGAAGCGGCTACAAAGGTAGCTGAAGTGCGTGACAGCCACTTGTGGCCGGTGGTCGACACTTGCGGTCGGTGGCTGCTCGTTGTTGTACTTTTTTTTAACCTTTGCGTGCAGTATCATAATGGACTCTGACGAAGAAGGTTTAATTGCGCTACTTTTGATAAAAAGACGTCGTCGTAGAAGACGAAACCGTAGTTATTGGATACATCCAATTTTAACGAATGTAAACAAATGCAACGAACATTTCGATAATCTTCTAAACCATCCTAAAAAGTTTTTCAAACATTTTCGTTTAAGCATAGATACGTTTTGGGAACTACATGCTCTATTATATGCTGGATTAAAGCACCACGATACCAACATGCGGAAAAGCATCGCACCTGCGGAAGACTAGCTATCACATTAAGGTAAGTGGAAATAATCACTAGCATAAAACTCCACAGAACACTATGATAAAATAATCTGTACTTTATTTATAATAGAAAAAACAATGCACATTGATTATTATAATCATTATTTCATTATATTCATTATATCATTATATATAATATAAACATTATAATCATTATAATAATCAATGTGCATAAAACACGTAGGTATTTGTATTTAGTTATTATGTCTTTATTATAATTTGGTATCACTCGTCATCATCACGGAACATGTTTTCGATAACAGATCTGTTGTCCATAGACTGGTCAGAATAATATGAATGAGTTGGAGAAGGCTGAATTATAGGTGAAGAAGGGATAGATGTAGAAGCGTTTTGTGTAGAGTAAGACAAGTCAAGCATAGACTTGTCGGAATAATGTGAATGAAGTGGAGAAGGCTGAACAGATGTAGAAGCTTTTTGTGTCGAGTGTATGTTGGCATTTCCTGAAGAATAACCATAATATTGTGCCGAATAGGTTTCATAATTTTGATTATGCGTGTACTTTCTAATTAACTAATATTTCTGATTGAAAATCAAGTTTACAATTTTCGTCAATTTTTTTTACATGTGGAAGCAGCGACATCAGAAATTGCTTATCGGGGTCATTTTGGTCGCTTATTTGATCATGTTTACGTTTTAAATTTTCCGAAAGTTATGGTTAGCAAAAAATAATGAAAAAAATATAGAAAAGAGCTTATTTATTTATAAGACTAAATTAATGAATTAGTTTTACTCCATAACAACGACTTTCACGTGAAAAGGTTTTGAGACGGCCTTTTATGGGGCTTTCCCATAGTGCGCCCTGGTATTTTTCATCACTGTGAAGTCTATATCCATTTCCAAGTGATCTACACCGTGTCTAATATAATTATGCAGTATATGGGCAGGACATCCAACGCCTACAATTTCCTTTTGGAGTTCTTGTTTCAGTAATACAAAAACATTTTGTCCGCCTGTTGGTCTATTAGCGCCACCAAAATTGACGTTCGCATTATCAGCAGTAAAAGAAACTAATTTTTGTTCAATGCCGTGTTTTCTCACTGTGTTGACAATATATTGTGTGATTGTTTCTGCAGTTTCGTTTGGCAATACATCGAGGTATAAAATTTTTGTCTTTATTATCCCATCGCGATAATCAAAATATTTCAAAATATTATATTACTATTGGAAACATTTTTCGAGCACCGTGATTGCTGGCATCAGTTTAGACCAAAATATAATAATGAATCAGATTTCAACCTTCCATTACATGAGGGGAAATAACATTGTAAACATTAGCTTCGGTTTTTGTCCGGGCACAGGTTATCGTCTTTCCCACATCTGAATCAGAAAATAACTTCCTCAATAATCCTCCTGTGCAATCGTGCAAATAACTTATAAGATTGGTGATGTTTTACAGTATGGTAAGCAAACGCAGCTTCTGCAGCGGCTTTTCTTTCCGAAATAATATTTAGGGTTGGTTTGAAAAATGTATCTTACTATTGGAAGACTGCTTTAGACATTTTTTGATGTTTTTCGGATTCCAAATGTCTTTTCACATCTTTGATTCCTCTAGAACCAAAACTAAAATAACAGTCGCATACCACACGGGCGGTGCGGCGCCGCACCGCAAGCCATTTCGCCGCGCTGGCGACCACACGGGCAGAGCGGCGTTGCCACGTTCTAAGAGCCCTCGCACATTACGGCCACCAGTCGCCGCCACTAAACGCGACCACCAGTAGTTCGGCTAGACCACTACACGCCGCCACCAGTGGCAGCCACTAAAGGCCGCATCAAGCCACCAGTGGCTGCCACTTGCGTCAGACACTAGCTGCAAGTATCTCGACAGAGGTAGACGTGTGTTGCCCAAGAATGGACGCACTCTTGATTTCGCTATTGTTGCTTATTATTCTAAAACGTAGAAAACGGCGCCGAATTCAGAACCATCGACGACAAATTCATCGGCGTCACTGGGTACATCCAATTCTGACATCACGCAATAAAAATGGACAGCACAAATTGCTGTTCGAAGAGTTAAAATGTTATCCAGATAAGTTCTTCAAGTATTTTAGAATGAGCGTGAACTCATTCAATGAATTACTTAGCGTTTTGCACGATGACCTCAAACATCAAGATACACGCATGAGAAAAAGCATCTCTCCAACAGAAAGGCTGGCTATAACTTTAAGGTAAGTATCATTCATTCGTATCATTTTGCTTCTATTAGTTTGCGACTCACGTGGATTCTAGAACGTAAAACAAACAATTAAAAAAGCCAAATTGAAATAGAAATTATTTATTAATGAGAATTGAAAAATCGCAAACTAAATCAAGTTACATATCGCAGATATACAGTTTTTATAACAAATACACATTTACTTTTACATAGTCAGTTGTCAAAAAGATGTTCATTTATATCATCTGACAAAACAGAATTCATAGTATTATCAGATGCAGATGGCGAGCTAACGGAAAAGTCATGCTCAAAATTTGATTGATATCCCATAGAAGGTGGACGCGAAGCCGATTGATATCCCAAAGCAGATGGACGCGGAGTCGGTTGATAACCCGAAGTAGATGGTTGCATAGTATGGTATGAGCGTGGTTCCTGAAATGATGATGTGAAATATCCATGTTGTTGATTCTGTGATGTTCGCATATACTGTTTATATTTTTTTAGTACCATCAATACATCGGTTTGAGCATCCAATTTAAATTCATTGGGTATTTGTTTAAAGTGCGGGACCAAGGACAAAGCAAAGTTATGGTCAGCGTCTTCTTGATGCTTGTTAGAATGACGAGATTGTAATTGTTCTGAAATACTAACAAGTATATCAGTTTCTGCTTGAATGTCTTCATTATTTGTCTTGTTCTTTTTTGGCCTTTTTCTCTCAGTCGCATCGTGTACCTCGTTCGGTAATGGGCTGGGATCACGTCGTGTGTCAGCCAAGTTTTTTAAAAAAGATAGTTGTTGATAATATATATACGGCTTGCGACTCGATGATGCAGATCCACTTTTAACGCTCATTTGTTTAGAGTGTTCTCTTTTGAAACAGTCACGAAGGCTTTTCCATTTTCGCTGCAACTGGGATGCTGAAACATAAAAATAACATAATCAAAGGTTTCTAATCTGTTCTTTTTGTTGCAGGTACCTTGCTACTGGTTGTTCATTTGGTGATTTTGAATTAGTATATCGATGTGGTGCGTCAACTGCGAGATTAATTGTAAAAGAAACATGTAAATTGATCTATGCATCACTTCAAGATATCTGCGTACCACAACCAACTGAAGAGATGTGGAGTAAAATAGCTAAGGGGTTTGAAGAATATGCTAACTTTCCAAATTGCTGTGGTGCAATTGATGGAAAACATATAAGGATTATTAAGCCTCAAGATAGCGGATCCTTATATTATAATTATAAACACTATTTTTCCATCGTACTTCTAGCTATCTGTGACGTGAATTATAAGTTCACATTTATTGATGTCGGCTCTTATGGGAAAGCTTCAGATTCGACTATCTACAAAGAATCGAAATTATTCAAAAAATTGGAAGACCAATCCCTGAATTTACCTGCACCAAAAGCAATTTCTAGTAGTTCTGGTCCTGTAAACTACTGTTTTGTTGGTGATGAAGCTTTTGGTCTTGCAGAACACATGTTGAGACCTTATTCAGGAAAACACTTGAATATTGAAAAAAGAATTTTCAACTATAGGCTTTCTCAAGCCAGGCGTCATATCGAGTGTGCCTTTGGGATATTAGTGAATAAGTGGAGAATACTACATCGACCATTGAATGTGTCAATAGATTTCGCCGAAGACATCGTGAAGGCCTGTTGTATACTACACAACTTTGTTCGTCAGAGAGATGGATTTAATTTCCATCATACATTGACTGTACCAGGACTTCAAGATATCGATAACGCCCACGTGCAATCTCGTCGTTCATTAAACACCAGAGATATATTGAAAGATTATTTTATTAGCAACGAGGGAGCTGTACCTTGGCAAAATAATAAAATATAATAAATATATAATAATAATGTAAAATAAAATTGTCCAAAAACTTACACTTTGTTTTTTTCCGCTACATTTTTTTCACTAAAATTTGGAATAAATTTTAGGCACAATTCCTCCCAAGCTTCAGTTTTCTTACCCCTGTCGCTATACAAATCTGACTTTAAATCCCAAATAGCGGGTCGCTCTTCGACATCGGAAATAAAAGCGTCTACATCAAAATGAGGAATCGGATCCGTGGACATCATGCACGTGCATTCAGTACGCAGCTTACAACAAGACTAGACCCGGGAGACGGGATTGGGGAGCGGCGCGCAGGGGTGGGAAGAAGCCGGCAACTGTGGCCGTGTATGCGCACGAGTCGAACGACAAAACGCAGCCACAAGTAGCGAGCGCGCTCGACTCTCGCAGCTTGTGGCTCGGACGCGGCCACTCAAGCGCTCAGTGTGCGCCGATTCTATATAAAATGTATGAAGAAACGCGTCCGCAGGTTGTGGCGGCCACTAGTGGCTGAAGCGTGGCCGCCACTAAGTGGCCAGTGTGCGGGGGCTCTAAGGAGCCGCGGCGGCGACAAAATGAAATGTGAAGTAAACAAATCAAAATGAAAACGCTCTCAGCGGTGAAGTGAGCGATAGAAAACACCGACGCCCGTCTCGCTCCCGCTCACGCACCGCACCGTAGCTTATTCTCCCTCTCATTCTCGCGCCGCGCCACCTGTACTACGATCCGATCGTTCGGTTGAGCGCGCGCGCGACCGTCCGTTTTCATTCAAAACGCAAACGCGAACGGCGCCGTGCGCGACGCACGGGCGCGAAATTTAAAAATGGCTGTCTCAAACCAATGCAGGCCGCACGCCTGTCTAAGCTGTATAATGCCTGTGAAATGCGGCAAATGCCTGTCAGATGGTAACCCAAGCCGCGACCGGCCACCGGCCGCTGTCATTGTCCCTCGCGCTTATCAAAAGGCTGATAACTCAGTATTTACTAACAAGTGATTTCCATTTTCCCTTCATACTTTAACGGTCCTAAGACCGTCGTAAATACTTTTAACTACACTTAGGGCCCCCGCGCACTAGGCCGCCTGGCTGCGCAGCCAGGCTGCGGCAGCCAGAATATTTGCGCAGCCAGTTATAACAGCCAATCAACGACTAGTCTAGATCCTTCCGTCGAGCAATATGGACGTGGAAGAACTTATAATTATTGCTTACCTATCTCGTAAAAAACGCAAAATAAAGAAAAGATACTGGATTCATCCTCTTTTTCTAGAAAGACACTCAAAAGGCTTATTCCAAACCTATTTCAAAGATATTCGCGCATTCCCAGACCGGTTTTTGAACTACACGAGGATGTCAGTGCAATCGTTTGATAACCTTTTGGAAAAAATACGAAATTCAATCAATGGCATTGATACTCCTATGCGAGCTTGTATAAAACCTGAAGAAAAACTGGTGATAACTTTGAGGTGAGTACGAAAATGAAAGATATTGTTAATCAGTCTCTTAACATTTATTAGGTATTTATTTCTTACATGTATGGTAATGAATTACCTAGTTCAAGTTGTCCTGTGTAGTAAATAATTCTAGTAATTCAGAACCCTGAGACACATCTGTTGCATTTGTGTCAGTTGGTGATAACGCATCAGTATAAACAGTATTATCTTGCCTGTCTGGAACAGCCGTAGAATACCCACGGCGGCCCTCAGTGGTCGAGGCTTCTTGTCTATAATTCGAGTGTGTCGAGTATCCATAGCGATACTGCCCACTGCTTGTGGTTTCCGGTCCATATTCAGTAGAGTATCCTTGACCTTGGCGATACTGCCCACTGCTTGTGGTTTCCGGTCCATATTCAGTCGAGTATCCTTGACCTTGGCGATATTGTCCACTGAACGATGTTTGTGGTCTATATGATCTGGCGGCCGATGCCCCTGGTTCATAATCAACATTACGTTGGCGAAACGAACTAAATTCGGAATCGTGAGTTTGCATTTGAGCTCTTTTTATAACTTCAATTAACTCCATTTTTGTAGAAAGCTTACGATGTCTCGGGATGTTTTTAAAATCATCTAGAAGTGAAAGTATAAACAGTCTATCTGAATCAGACTCTTGCTGTCTTTCACGCTCTTCTCTCATTACAATACTTTCCCTTAATACCTGCACCAAATTATCGTCGTCACTTGTCTTCTTCTTTTTGGAAACAGGTCGTTCACCTTGAGTACTACCGCTGCTAGCGTTGATTTCGGCAGTGCGTGTTTCATCCATGCTATTTTGAGTTTCATTAATTACCACGGTAGGCCGAAGAAAATGAAGTTGTTCGAAATATAAGGTACATGAGGGTATTAAGGCCTAGCTAAGGGAAATCTGTTGTAAAATAAATACTGATAATAGAATCAACAAGTTTTATTAGGTTATCAGTTGTTTATTTATCCAACTATAAAATTAAAACAAAAAATAGCAACTTTTGCATGAAACTTCAACACAATTGAACGTTTTTTAAAACGCTCTTATTAGGCCTTATTATAATTAGGTAGGGTAACAAGGCCTGCTTCGTAAACCATGCAATTAATCAACTAAAACAACATAATTTAGTACTTGAGACCAATCATCATCCAGTCAATGGCAGAATAATACTTTACCATCTTAAGAATTAAATGAGTAGCCTCATCTAACAACCACCAGGGCATTTTTTTAAAGGGGGGAAAATCATCGGCTGACTTTCCCGGCTAAGTGAGGCGGGAACAAGTTTCAGACTCTTATTGACTAAAAACCACCCCGTTCCGACTTCTGCCCTTCGAGCTGGAGCCCTGGTAACCCGTTAAGCTCTCCGCTGCTCCGCATCAGTCCTATTGGGCCTCATCCGTGGTGGTCTGATGGCTCTTTGAGACGCGGAACGCGAAGCGCCGCACGCTCAGGTTTGGTTCTGGTCGGGCGGCGAGCTACCCATGCTGGCCGTCAGCAGGCCCGTGCTTACGGTGGCCGGAGATCGTCCTGCGATCCCCGACGCCCGAAGTGTCCTTCGCGGCGGCTGGGCTGTGAGGAGGCACGCGCCCCGCCTCCTTCATAGCTAGCTTGACTGCTTCGCAAAAGGAGTAGACAGCATGACCCCGGCATATAACCTCCGGCAGGAGACGTTTGACCCGCCGAGGTTGGGTAGGAGGCGCTGAAGCGCAGCCCCCGTCCTTTTCAACTTAGGAACCAAACGTCGGAAATACATCCACCAGGGCATCTTGATCCATACCATCATAGTTCGCATACCTGATTATCCTCTTCACAAGATCAGCTTCTTGTTCTGGATTCATTTTAGGCTTACGACCCAAACTTTTTACAAAAATACCACTTTGGAGATGGTTTCTTATTGTTCTCTTAGGAATTTTGTATCGTTCTGGAGCCGCATATGTAGGTACTCATGATTCCTCTCTGTTCTGCACAAACAGCTGAGGCCAAATGATCTTCTGACCACAAAGCTCGTTTTAGGAGGCATCGTGAACATAGGAACTGTAAACAATGTGTGATTTACTGAAATAATTTGAAAATAGTGCAAACATTAAAAAATATATACCTATAAGTATAATAAGGCCTACTACAAAATTTTACAGGCCTTATTACACATAGGTAAGGTATTTATGGAAAACGAATTAAATACAATTTGGACTGTAGAACGTTAATGAATAAGGCAAATTAGGACGAGCATAAGTTAACGATAATATAGACAGTAAGTGCATGGAGATAAGTGTAATAATTTAAGAAATATTTACGTTTTACCGGAGCCAAAATTTGTAAAAACGTGACGTACGGCTACTCTTGAATACGTTTAAAACGCCATTAGCAAAAGCGAGTGAGATAGCCAACATTTGCCGCCTGGTGGCGCCTTGTATGTGTAATATACATGTATGTGCTTGAACTTGAGCGCGAAATCGTATTCTAAGTAAGATTTTTGATTTTTAGGCCTTATTAGCCGACAGGCCTTAATACCCGCATGTACCTTACGTATGGGCTCTTACGCGAAGCTGCTGATCCACTTTTAATACCAGCTCTGCGTTTTACCTCCCTGCTGTAACTAGTCCTGATGTTCTTCCACTTGCTCTGTAGAGATTTACCTGAAAATTATATTTGTTCTTTGTTACAGATATCTTGCTACAGGATGTTCTTTAATGGAATTGAGTCATAATTATCGGATTGGACATACAACTGTCCGAGATATCATACATGAAGTTTGTATGGCGATTTGGGAGAATATGAGACAGTCATCGTTTCCAGAATTAAATGAAGAGAGGTGGCTTGAAATAGCAAATGGTTTCAATGAAAATGCAAATTATCCCAATTGCGTTGGTGCCATCGATGGCAAGCATATAAGAGTGATAAAACCCAGCGATTCAGGGTCACTGTACTATAATTATAAAAATTATTTTTCCATCGTTTTACTTGCTGTATGCGATGCAGATTACAAATTCACATATACACCGTGATATTTTAATGGTTGTTTTCCCACAGTAAAATGATTCTATTTTAGTAGTACAATAGATTGAGAAAGTTGTTTTTAATTTAAATAAAAAAATAGCAGTTTTACGATAGTGATACACGAAACTTGAAAGAAACCGCGAACCAATAGTACCGCCGCGACCGGCCACCGGCCGCTGTCATTGTCGCTCGCGCTTATCAAAAGGCTGATAACTCAGTATTTACTAACAAGTGATTTCCATTTTCCCTTCATACTTTAACGGGCTTAGGACCGTCGTAAATACTTTTTAACTACACTTACTAAACACAAACATAAACAAAATTTAATTAAGATATATTATCTTGTTTATTACTGAATTTGGGAAAGTATTTATGGCGTATTTAAAAAATGGGAATCAACGTATTTACAATGATTTTAATCACATAACTTATTGTTTTATTTACAAATGTACAAGTACTTACACTTCCCGGTAACGGAGCAATTGTTCGAAGTGTAAGCCACCGCGTTCCACACACAATCGTGCACGTTTTAATTGATTGGCTTTCAATTTTAATAATGTGTCTCTGTCACGTCTAATCACATCAAAAGCGTCCACTATCGCACTTTTTAATGCGTCGCGAGTTTCGTACTCTTGCCGATACACAAGGCGTTTCAGATTAGACCACAAATAAAAGTCTAATGGAGTAAGATCCGGGCTTCGTGGTGGCCATGGCACTGGCCCGCCACGACCGATCCAGCGCTGGGGAAACACCGAGTCGAGGTGCTCTCGCACGGCGCGCTGATAATGCGCAGGGCAACCATCGTGCTGGTAATACAGGCCATCCATGGGCACTGCTAATGGAATGTCATCTAGTAACTCCGGGATAACACTACGTAGCATTTGTAGGTACGTTTCACCGGTTAAGTGTCCTGTCACAAAATGCGGACCAATTAAGCAGCCGTTTATTATACCGGCCCACACGTTTACACTAAACCGCACTTGATGCGCACATTCCCGAATAACGTGTGGGTTATTAAAAGCCCAAAAATGTTCATTCTTTTGGTTAAAAAGTCCAACTCGCGTAAACGTCGCCTCATCTGTCCACAAAATATTCACGTTATGATTTTGAATCATCCAATTACAAAAACTAATTCTAGCCGCCGCGTCATTTTCGTGAAGGGCATGTACCTTTCGAAAATGATAGGGGTGTAATCCTTCACTGTTGAGCAGTTTCCATACGTAATATTGGCTAACGTTAAACCGCGCCGCAGCCATACGCGTACTTCGGCGAGGATCCCGTTCAAAAAACTCGATGATATTTTCATCAAGCTCTGCCGTGTGAATGGCTGAGTGACCTCTGCCTTGAGCATGCGCTGGCGTCTGGAACTGCCCGTGATCAAGTAGTCGCTGGGTTGCGGCGACGATCGTGCGGGCCTGTGGTACTTGGGGATTGAGAATACCGCGAAGACGAAGCGACTCCATGTGCCGCGGCTCCTCGTAAAGTCGACGGGCGGCATGCGAATCATAATTCGCCCTCGCGTACAATTGCACCATAGCTACGTACTCCACGTTAGAAAAAACGTAATGGCGATCCATTTTGGCGGCAATAATATTGTACTGCGCTTGCGTGGTTGCGCGGACGGCGTTCGCGGTGCGACTGGTCAACTGGTGTGAATGAAACCGATGCGAGCCGGTGCGAGCCGATTCGAGTGACAGAGAGCGCGATAGTTGCCTTTGTTGTTTGTCGTAAGGCGATCCGCTCGCGCGCGCGTGCATTGCAGTTTATGCTGTATAACTTAGTCCGAGAGATTATTTTACTATGAACATTGATTTGACGTCACATTTTAGAAGAGAAACTATCGTTTCTCATGCTTTCGAGTTGATGATTATTTTTTTGAGTAGATGAGGAGAAAAAAAATTATTTTTTCAAAAAGTAACTTGCATTATTCGATAGTACTACTAAAGGGAAATCGTTCTGCTGCGGGAAAACAACCATCAATATGTCAGCGTGTATAGATGTTGGGGCTTATGGAAAATGTAGTGACTCATCGATATATAAAAAATCCATTTTGTATCAAAAACTTGTCAACAAAGATTTACAAATTCCGGAGAAGCGCCCCATATCAAATAATGGAGTACCGATGCCATACGTCATAGTGGGGGATGAGGCATTTGGCTTATGTGAAAATTTAATGAGACCTTATGGAGGTAGGAGTTTAACAGCGGAGAAAAGAATCTTCAACTATAGACTGTCTCGGGCAAGGCGGTACATAGAATGCACGTTTGGGATATTAGCCAACAAATGGAGAATTTTTCACCGCCCACTAGATGTCCGACAGGAACTTGCAATAGCCATAGTACAAGCTTGCTGTGTCTTACATAACTACGTGCGCGAAAGGGACGGGTATAGGTTTCAAGACACACTGTACGTTCCACCAGAACTGGAAATAACCGGTGGACCCGCAAATAGAGGAAGCCGATCATCAGCATCCTATAGGGATTTATTTGCGGATTATTTTATTAATGCAAATCCGTTAGAATGGCAAAACAGATATGCATTAGAATAGTGCCTACCTATTTATCTAAATAAAACATTGAAGTGAAAATACCTAGTTAAGTACCAAAAAAGAACAATAACGAATACATAGTTATTCTGCGATACTTTACAAAAATATTGATTGGTGTTGCAGAATCACCTGTATTATACTGTATAATCCAGATAATAAAAATACATGCTTACCAAATTCTTTTTTGTCATTTTCTGATAAACTTTCCGAGCACATTTGGTTCGTGATTTCTTCCCATCTCCTTTTCTTAAAATCCCGATCACTGTATTCTTCCGATGTTATATCCCAAATTGCTTTACGGCTTTCAATTTCCCGAATAAATTTCTCTGTATCGAAAGTCATCTTATCAAAGTTCAGAACGCAAAATACGTCTGGCTGCTACAACTAGTGCGCGGAGACTGACCGCAGCCACATACATTCGCCTACACACGCTCTGGCTGCGCGCAGCCAGCTGGCTGCCGTGCATATAGGCGCGTTTCATTGGCTGCCGCAGCCGAGATTTCGTGGCTGCCTAGTGCGTGGGCTCCCGTACAATGTCATATGTTTGACTGGCTGCCGCAGCCTGGCTGCCGCAGCCAGGCTGCCTAGTGCGCGGGGGCCCT